GAAAGCCAGAATCCTCAGTTTCCTAGCTATTTAGAGATGCTTCACCATGACTTTTTTCTTATGTTGACTCTTAATTAAAGTCAAGGGCTCAGAAGTGCTTTTAATACTTGAGGCCAGCATGACCAACAGAACCTTCTGGATGAGGAAAATGTTCTGTTTCTACAGTGCATGCTAAAGTAGCCAGGACCCTCATGGGTTTATTGAATGCTGGAAATGTGCAACTGACTGTAAGTACCATTAAAGTGATTTCATCATGCTTAATTTCAGTTTATTTAAATAGCGACATGTAGCTAATGATTGCTATATTTATTGAACTAAGCATGTCTAGAAAGTGTGGAAAGTACTAGAATGTTATCCATTGATCCCTAACATTAACTGAGCAAATTTTGTTGCCCTAAAAAACTAACAATGCTTGGTGACATTTAAAAATTGATTGCAAAACACGTATGTACTCAGAATGGTCTAAGCTAATCTAATGGTGACATGAAATTGACTAGTTGTACATTCTATTTGCATATAACAGGTTTACCAGTGAGTCTATTTTCTTTTTTTTTTCTTTCTGTGACCATGTGTCTGTTAGTTGAGAAGCTGTTCACCTAAAAATATAATTATCTTCATAAAACTACCTCAAAACCCACAGAACCACCAAAACAGCATAGAAATATATCAAAAGACAGGTTATTTCTGCTTTAATGGATTAATGTGAAAAACAAAATCTGGAAGAGGGAGGAATGAGAATCAGACTGCATCGTAGAATTTGATATTTCATCTGGCAGGTCAGAGTTGAAGGTGGGTGTGGGGGATGGTCAGCTAGTGTGTGTGTGTGTGTGTGTGTGTCTATATACTAATGAAGCTAAGGAATGAAAACAAATATGATGCCCCAGCATCACAAGCTGCAAGGAGACCAAGAGTTCTGTGTGGCATCAAACTCCAGGACAAATTAATGATCAACAAGCCATCTTGTCTACTTTGGAAGGGAACAGTTAGAAATGACGTTTACAAAGTTAAAAAAAAAATAGAAATGATGATATATATATACACAAAAGTCTCCTGTGGGAAAGAACTTTATACATGATGAAACTCTACAAAAGTATAAACATATGAGCATTTTTTGTGACTACAGTGCAAAGCTTATGTGTCTTATAATTAGTTAATCAACTCAAGTTTACTAAGGTGCCCTTTAGAAAGACAAACTAAATAATATCTAGAAAATTCTCATTTGAACCACCAGACAGAAAGCTTATAAATAAACATACCTTTGAGGAGAAAGCACCTAAGTAATTTGATAGAATCTTGACCAACAGCTGGGGCACACTAAGCAAGTTGCTCATGATTAAATTATATTAAATTAAATTTAAAACATCTTTGAAATAGCATATCCCCATATTCCACACGATTGAGCCACAGAATATTAGAAAAGAATATAAAATGGCTTGACGGAATTATATGTAAATGCAAGGCAATTTATGCATCATAATCTGACACAAAAAATTTAGGAATGTTCAATTAATGGTACTGAGAAAACTGGGTTGCTACATGCAAAAGAATGAAGCTTGACTACTACCTAACACCACAAACAAAAACCAACTCAAAATGGATTAAAGAACTAGACATAAGACCTGAAACCATAAAATGCATAGATAGAAGGAAATATAGGTGAAACACTACATGATATGGACATCAAAGACATCTTTACAGACACATCACCCAAAGCAGTGATAGTGAAGGCAAAGATAAACAGCTGGGACTACATCAAATTAAAGAGCTTCTGCACAGCAAAAGAGACAATAACAAAAACAGAGAGAAACCCCACCGACTGGGAGAACATTTTTGGACACAACACTAATGATAAAGGACTGGTCACAAAAATCTACAAAAAGCTGATGAGACTCAACAAAAACAAAGAAAATAATCCAGTCAAAAAGTGGGCAGAGAGCTAAAAAGAAGCTTCTCTAAAGAGGAAATGCAAATGGCCAACAGGCATATGAAAAAAATGTTCAACATCACTTGCAATCAGGGAAATGCAAATCAAAACTACCATGAGATACCATCTTACACCAGTGAGAATGGCACATATTAAAAAAACTAGCAACAACAAATGTTGGCGAGGATGTGGAGAAACAGGAATACTCCTGTACTGCTGGTGGGAGTGCAAACTGGTCCAACCACTATGGAGAGCTGTGTGGAGATTTCTGGACCTACTAAACATAGAGCTTCCAAAGGATCCAGCAATTCCACTCCTAGGTATTTACCCAAAGGACACAGAAACATCAATTCCAAAGAACACCTGCACCCCTATGTTTACAGCAGCACTGTTTACAATAGCTAAGCTTTGGAAACAACCCAAATGCCCAAAAATAGATGACTGGATCAAGAAGACGTGGTCCATATACACCATGGAATATTACTCAGCATTCAAAAAAGATAAACACATGCAATTTGCAGCAACATGTATGGAGCTGGAAGGGATCGTGCTCAGCAAAATAAGCCAGAAAGAAAAAGAAAAATACCGGATGGTCTCACTCATAGCAGGAATCTAGAAAACTTAAATAAGGGACCAGGAAAAAGAATAACGATAAGAAAGAAAATATCAAAATCAACAAACAACGATGAATCAGAGACACTCTATGGGATGTGGGGGCGGAGAAAGGAGGGATTGGGGTCAAAATAAGGGGGTTGTAATTGTATGGGGAATATAAAAATAAAATTAAAAAAAAAATTCAGGAATGTTTACCAAGTAGGTGGTTCTCTAAGAAGGATATTTATAGGACCAGGGCTTTAATTTCTCTGTCTGAAATAAGATTTGTTATCAGTGACTGAGAAGGGAGGCTAAACATAGCAATGGGATTCTAAAAATACATGTGCCTAAACTCTTGGAGCAGGAAAGGTGAACCATTTGTTTCCATCTCTTTCTAGTCCCTTTATTGGAGCACTTGGTCCATCATTTTACTGATTTCTTTGCAAGTCTGTATTGCTACCATGAAGTCCTTGAGGAAAGGGGTTTTTGTATCTATCTTTGTATCCCCAGAGTCTCTCTCATCAACTGTCACATTATCACAAAAAAGATTGGGAAGTTAGATTGTCAAAATAAATACCAAAGTCGGCTTTCCTTTCAACTAAATTAATTAAAAGGCTAAGTTTGGCATGCAAGAGAGCAGAGTACTGCAGGGCATTCGTGGTAGAGTCAGGGAGCAGCTGACAATGGATCAACCTGAGCTTGAGCCTCTGCTTCTGAAAAAATGGGTGTAATAATAACACCCACATCAAAGGGTGTCACGAGTAATACACAACAAGTGGCATATGAAGCCAGTAACAGGGTCATTGGTACAAACTGAGGGCTTAATAAATGCTATGATTCTAGCACTCTTGCAAACATTTTAAAAATTGGTAAACATTTATTTTATTTTTGTTCCATTATCACTAAAATAAATTATAAACTCAAATTCTTACATAGACCCTCTGACAACTATTTCCTAAAGAAAAGTGCTTTCAAAGTCAATATATGGAATTGTCATATCCATAAGCAGTTTTTATGGACACACATTATTCAAAAGGCACTACTTATGCAGCAGAAAAGAAACCAGATTTAAAAAATTATATTGAGTTCAGATCCAGTGATAAGATCAAACAATACTTGGAGATGAAATGAAAATGAAGGCGATTTATCAGAATCTATGGGACGTAGCAAAAGCAGTACTAACAGAAGTCTAGAGCAATACAGGCCAACCTCAGAAACAACAAGACTCACAAATAAGAGACTAAAGCTTGCACCTAAAGGAGCTAGAAAAAGGAGAAAAACCAAAAGCAACAGTTAGTAGATGAACGGAAACAAAAATTTAGAGCAGAAATTAATGAAATAGTGATTAAAAAGACAAAGCAAAGGATCGATGAATACAAGAGCTGCTTCTCTGCAAAGATTAACAACTTACAGACAAATCTTTAGCCAAAATCAAAAAGTAGAGAGAGAAAATACAAGTAAATAAAATTAGAAACAAAGGAGAAGTTACAACAGATACTCCAGGAAAAAAGCATAATGTAGAATAGCTCTGAAATGACTCACTAGGAAGTCTTTGTAACGTTTCAGCTCTCCTCAGTGTCATAAACAAGAGTATGCACTCAAATCTCCAAATATTCATTCATGCAAATATTGGTTGAGCCCAGTTGTACTCAGGCACTGTTCTTGGTGCTTGTGATACAGTGAGTAGAAGAGACATAGATGCCTGCCCTCATCAAGCCTACACTCCAATGTGAAGCAGAGTTCACCTAAAATAAAGCATATACTCAATCATTGTCTCCTTGGTGGTGGGAGTGGTGTGGTAGAAACACATGTTAAAGTGTGACGCTGTATGCAGTATAATATAGAAACATGTAGTACTGAAAACCAATATTAACTCCCTCAAAGAAATTCCCAAAACCACAGTAACAATCACTCAATCCTATCAGAATTCTATATTGCTAGTAAAGAGCCATACGTATTTTTTTTCTTTTTGGCTTATCCTTTTATTCACTCTGTTCTTTTGCAAATGGAATATAATATTCCTCTTACCTATAATGGACATCACTATCATTAAAGCAAAATTACAATAATGCAGCAATTATTTTTGCTACTCAGCAAGTGGCGCTAATTAGTTTTATCAGACACCTTGTGAGACAGAAAACAGTAGGAATGTGACAAATATTTTTTTGCTCCTGCTATCAATAATACCCACCACAGATTTTGGTCAGTGGCTTCACCCAAGAAACCCCAGTCAAAACAGAATTTTCACTTAGGAAGGGATTTTGTTTGGTTATGACTTTTTCACAAACACTGTCAGGTTTATGAAATAAGAAGAATTTTAAAGTAAGTGGAAGTGACGTTTATGAGTAAGGCATGAACTACAAAGGTGGCAAAAGAAAACAGAAATATCAGATGATGTATGTTTTTCTGCATGGTCAAATGAAAAGTGAATGGATGTCTGAATTTCCGCCCACACATGCTCTCCTGACCAAGGTCCTCTTACCTGGCTGCCATGAGATCCAGGAGATGCTGCCAGCGGTCATTGACCTTCCCAAGCTTGTACTGGATCTCAGATGCTTTGCTTTCATGACTGGCTCGAGCAAGACGCTCACCCATTTGCTGGAGTTGTATTTTGTTCTCTTGGGCAACAGCAATTTCCTCCTGATAATCCTGCATAATAGCAATCAATTTCAATTACTGAGCTCAGAAAGTGTATTCTTTATATATATATATATATATATAATTTTACGTCATTGTTCATTTTTAGACAATGTTTGTTTTCCTACCCTTCCAGGTATAGTCGCCATAGAATCTCCTTCCCCAAGGCCCCCGTGCACCATCACCACAGTCCCCTGTGCTCCTCCCTCCTTCCCTCTCATCCCTCTTCCTCCTCCTCCCCTGCAGGATGTCTCTGATTTATACTTGTCTGTTTTTGCTTTGTTTTGTTTTGTACTGTTTTTTCCCCCTGATGTCTTAGTTGGTTCCCTTATATTCCTCCTATAAGTGAAACCATCTGATATTTTCCTTTTTCCTTCTGACTTATTTCACTGAGCATCATTCCTTCTAGCTTCATCCATGTTGCTGCGAATGGCACAAAAGCAAATTCTTAATGCATTCAGCCCAGTTCTACTGGAAACGTGGTAATTACAGTTTACTACTGCTTGGAAATAGTTCAGGCATGAGGGACACGGTGTGAATACCAGATTCGTGGTACCTATTATTTTCAGTATGTATTTGGAGGCTGGGTTAAATTTTTATACAGACATTCTAAAACACAATGGGGAGTGCTTTCTATTCTTAGTGGACATTAAAAAACAGTGAAAGTATATACATAAGAAAAGCTAAATTTGAAAGGTTTTAATAGTGGGGAATTACACTTGTTGCTGTACTCACCAACCTGATATTATACATAGAATTAATTCTTATACAAATAGTTGGTGGGAGACTTAGAAGATGTATGTGCATGTGTACTACTGACATCTATGTGCATATACATATGCATGTCAATTATGTTATTTGTGTACAATGTTTTAAAAGGGTATCCTCAATTTTAAAAGACATCTATACAGTGCCAACATCTGACAACACATACATAGATCAGTGGCAAACTGAGTTTCAAGAACAATAACCTAATGGCTTAGATGATCAGGGCATCTCAAACCTTCTTTGTTTTTTGTTTCTCTTTTTTTTTTTTTTTTTTTTTTTAACCACTATTGGTCTTTATTGAGGTGGCAAGGTAGAATGACACCACCAAGAGCAGAGCCTGTGGACCTGAACACGGGGCCTGATGGTAGGGTTTCTCAGAGACGCATGTCTCTGGGAGAGAAGGTGGTAGGGGATGCAGGTGCTCACAGGGTCTTCAGAAAGGCCCTATATTTGGCAACGAAGGGGGCAGACAGAATTTTCAGCTGTTGTTGAAGTTCCTGCAGAGTCTTGTCCTGCTCTTGCTGCTCTCCCATCACCTGCTGTCTGTAGTGGTTGATGTAAAAGTTCACCTAGTCCTCCACTACGGTGACCATGGCTTCTTCTGGGGTAGGAGGATCAGGGAAGACTTGCTGTTTCAGCAGAACATTACATTCCTTAATTGCTTTGGAAATAAGATCTTTATTGTCCCGAAGAGCCATGGCCTTCAAGTCCAGTGTCTGTCTCCCCAGCACCTTCACAGTATGTATGCCCCTCTCTGCCAAGCTCAAACCTTCTCTGTTAACCCAGTTTCTGCACTAGTTCCTCACAGACAAAACTAAACCAAAACAAACTTAAGGAACTGCAGGAAAATATGAAAAAGTAGATTCTAAAGATTAGATCCCTATTACTGTAGCGAGAGAATAGGAGATACAACAATGAGCAAAACAGAGAAAGTCCCTGATTTTTCTCTAGTGATTTTTTTTTTACCCTTTAAAACAAATACCCAGGATCCCTACTGGAGAAATGACCAAATATTAAACATTGTGATGTCTTTATAAAACATTCATCACAAATTTAAAATATTCTATATATTTTATATGCAATGCAGGACTTCTCATGTAAGCTTATTTTGTGTTAAAAAGATAAAATACTTAAAGTAGAGACTTCCTTGTACAGGAAAGTAATTATGAGCGAGGCCCCCTTTGCACTTGTTAAGTGTGTGTGTAAGTGTCATGGAGGGAGGAGACACAGACAGCAGCAAATGCACCTTCTTGAGCTTCTCAATCATTTCTTCAATGAGGATGTCTCCATTCTGGGAAACTTTGCTTTCCATCTGAGTCAGCCATTCGCACAGCTCCTTGTTCTTCTCACTGAAGACCGCCCATTCGTTCAGCCTTTCACTCACTTGCTGCCGCCTTAAGGAGAGCTGCAAAGGTGAATTGGGAGAAAGTGCACAAGGGTGATCAGAGCAGAAGTCAGACCCTGCAGAAAGCATAGACCCACTGGGTTTGGTGGACTGGGCTCAGCAAGCCTTGGGCATCCCTATGTCACTGTTCTCCCTGAGGTACAGAAGAACCTTCTCTGTGGTGCTTCACAGCAAGGGTTTTTCATGAAATACTAGGGGCAGCAGGGAACTCTGGACTGGGCCTTGCTGACCCACGTGTACATGACTAGCTTATGGAAGGTCCTGAGCCAGAGGTACATGCGCCACCATATTTATCACAGCATTAATCACAATACTCCTACGTGCCAGTGCTGATGGAAATACTAAAGAAAGCGTCCGATTGAGCTAACCTTCAAGTTAGCAAAATATTGACTTGAGTGGCAAAAGATGATGTTTTTCTGCACGGTCATGTTAATAATGACCCATTAAGCCATTCATTCCACTACATTAAACAGTTTCCTCTCAATTAGCTTTTTCTCTGCTAGCATCCTTTTATGAGAAATTTCAAACATAGAGGAAAGTTGAAAGAATTATATGGCAGGCATCTGTGATATACTCTAGGCTCTAAAATTATTATCATTGTGTTACTGCTTGCTTAAGTACAGGCATCCCTTTATCCATCAATCTATTTTACTTTTTGATGCACTTCAAACCAATTTCCTTTAGAAAAAGAAAATGAAAATATTTCAAGAAGCTATATACTTTCATTTTAGCAATTACAAGCTCTGTTAGTAGTTAGGAGAATGCCATTCACGGCCCCAAACAATCCCCAATGGCTGTGTCTCTATAAACAAGAAAATAGCTGGAAATCAAGTTGTGAGCTGAGAACACCAGTGCTGAGGGTTCCACAGAGAACCAACCCTATACCCCACCACTTTTGAAATACCATCAGTCAAGTTCATTCTCTTGAATTAATTATGATCTTTTGAACCAAAAACTTCTCTGGGAAGGTTGACACTAATGAATTTATCAAGTATTTCCCCACTAGTAGAATACCTGTTTACTGTTTAAGTTTTATTTGAGACAGAAAAACATAGGCATAGAATTACTTGGGGTGGGTGCTGACAGGGATGGAAAAGGCTAAGAAAAAACAGCTTAAATAGACAAATTTTGGGCCTCCCTGGTGGTGCAAGGTGTTAAGCGTCTGCATTATGAAGCTATCCACAACTACCACAGCCTGAGTTCAATCCCTGGCCAGGAAGTTACCCACATAGCACAGCAGACTTCTCCTGACTTGTCTGCTGTGCCCCTCAGCAGTATGTTTCAGTAGATCTGCCTGTTCTGCTCCCCACTCTGACTCTGTGAATCCTCTCACACACCCCCGCCACACCTCTGGCCTGTACCCTAGCTCTTGTATGCATAAATAAATAATGAGAGCAAGGCCATTCATTATTATCCCCATTCTACAGGCCAAGAGAGAAAGATTAGGCAAATTGGAGGCATTTATTTATAGTCTATGTAAGACAAGACCAGCAATGCTTGAGTCTGATACTGTTTGCAGGAGAACAAATATCAAAGGCAGCTAAGTTTCAAAAACATCATCATCACTCTTGGTGCTGTGATGATGACATGGTTGCTCCTCTCCTCCGAGCCTTCCTTTCTTCATCAATCTTTCCCTTGTTCCAAAATTTATTAAAAAAAAAAATACTCACTGGTTGCAGAAAACAAGAGTTGACGCTGAGCCAAGCACTGCCTTAAGTACTAGAATGCAGTAGACTGACAATGGAATGTACCTTTCAGTTTGCAAAACTATTGTTTAAGTTGTAGGATCAGTGAACAGCACCACCTCTCCCTTTGGGTTCAGGTGAAACCCCCATGTTATTTATCAGCTTAGCAATATTTATGCTTTTTTCAAGGGTACAAATAATGCTTTGCAACAGCTGATGGAACGGGCTGAGACCTCCAGAGTGAGGCAGCTGAACAGGAAATACATCCTTTGCTACTTCACATATTTTTACCATGATGATTTGAAAAACACCGAGCAATGACAATGATCCTATATTTAGGACTCAACTAGAATTCCACCCCGATCTACAAACCAAAATGTAGAGAAAAACACATACCAGCAAAGGCTGGGCTGTATCAGGCACAAGAAACCCTGCAGGGAGTCTACTGAGCACAGGATGTCCATCTGCAGGAGCTGGACTCTGCAGAGACTACTTACAGGGAGTCTTCCTTACCTCATCTGTGGCCAGTTACTCATCTCCTCAGCTGCTTTGATTGCAATGCAAAGAGACTGCTCTTCAACAGGGAGACGATTCAACAGGGAGAAGAAGCCATGTTGAACTAAAGTTTTTAACTACAATGAGGCACAGGCACAAGCTCATTTCCTTTGTGGTTTCATACTTGGTAAAAGTTCTTCGGAAATGATAACTCGAGAGCTAGTCACCGGTCTACACTACAATTTATAATCTCTTTACAGTCTAATCCTGGCACACTTGTTGTGAACATCCATGACTAAACTCTCACTAGTTTAAATCATTTTATTTAGATTGAAGTAATTAATGTGAGAGGAATCTGCTTTGGCTTCATGCTGTAAGACACTCAATGTAGTTTCTAGAAACCCAATGTGAATCTCTGCTTCCTCTTTTTTTTTTGATGTCTCACTGTACATACAGGTGCAAGGTTATTAAGCTCTTCACACTGCATCACATGATCAACAGCAACTTTAAAATATACTTCCAGATGGCTTCCTATGTAAATCTAAGTTTGATGTGCAATTTTACTGCATATAAATGTCCCCCCTTTTGCTGTGTTCAGATTTACTGAGATACAATTAACGGATAATGTTGTGTATGTTTAAGGTGTACAATGTGATAATTAGAAACAATTAGATTAGATGAGAGGATTGCTAAATGGCTACCACAGTTAGTTAACACCACCATCACCTCAAGTAGTTGCTGATTTTTTGGTGTGGTGAGAATATTTAAGATCTACTCTATTAGCAATTCATAGTCTTGCTAACATAATCACACTGTACATTAGTTTCTGAGAACTTACCTTATTGTTCTCTCTTGTGTCTTATGGCATTTTTATACAGAGCCTGAATCCCTAAGTCAAAAAGTATTGAATAATCATAATATTTTTAACCTCCCCAATATATTAGAAACCTTGTCATTATTTTGCAGATAGAGGAACACAGTATAAAGACATATGCTGATATTAACAGCACATAAGAACACTGAGCTGCTGTAGATACTGCGTATACAAAGAGATGGTCTTTGTCCTCCAGACCCTCAGAGTCGTGAAATCAACTCACAAACAAAAAAAAGATGGCACAGCTCAGAAGAACTGGAAAATATCGAGGACTGATAATCTTGATAATTGAATCTTGGAGTGGTGAAATTTGAAAGAAGGCAGTTAGAAAATAGAAGGGAAGGAATCACCTGAGGAGGAAGCTGGTCTTAGCAAGGACTCAGCGAGGGCCATTATGGTAGGGTGGGAGGGGTATGGGTGCCCGTATCTAAACTGTTATCTCGCTAAAGGCTTTAGAGATATCATCTAGGCAGAGAAATAGATATAGCCTAATTCATTCCCAATAAATATGATGAAAAGTGTTGAGTCAGGAAATACTGCTAGGCTTTTCTCGATTTTAAGAAAAACAAATGAAGAGCTTACAAGAGTAACTGAACATGGCTGTGATTCTTTCCCAATGGTTGTATCTACCAAATACCCTCCATTTATCTCCTCAGCCATTGCAAAATCTTTACATTAAAAATTATACAATAATTTTCTGGATGGTAATCCACTGACTTGGGATAGAAGAAATCAGAAAATAATAAAGTATAATAATTAACATTATCACCCCTCACACATCACACTTCTTGTGTTCACTGAGAATATGGAGCTCGACAAAAAGTGGCTAAGATAATTTTGAATTATGTCTAATAGTTAGCATGTTTGTGAAAATCGGCTCTTACTGTTTTTCTTTTCAAAAATTTTTACTTGTAGGAAACTGTTCTCACATTCATCAGCATGCTCCAAAATTTTCCTTTGGCTCACGGTCTTAAGAAATACTTGGTTGGCTTGTCCTCTAAACACACAGAGAGAAATTTTCCTATTGATAAATTTCTTGTTAATTGTCAAATGAATCAAGAAGCTATGAGACTCTAAAACTGTTTAATGTTTCCTGATTATGAAAATACATCTCAGGAGACTGAGAAGTGGGGAGGATGATGTGAAGATATCTCCAGGGCAGAGTAATTGGCCTGAAACTGGGGAGGTACAAAGAGGCCTCTTCTTGTAAGTGCCTTCCTCATCCTTCCAACATCTACTATCCCCAACAAGGTCCTCTGTCCACTTACCATTCCCCACCTTTACTCAGGCAGCAACCCCTTCCAACACAGCTGTGGCTCGCTCCACATCAATCTATCTCCTCCACATGCTGTCTCAGCACTCAGTTTAAGATTGAGCCACTTTAACAAGCATTTCCTTTATCCTTGGCAATCCATACTGCCAGTTGGCTTCCATCTTTATACTGTTTAACCCAGTTTTCTCTTTATTGTATTGACTCTCCTGGACTGATTTTCGTCTCAGCCCAGTTGCTTATTTGATAGCAGCAATATCTATAAGTTCTTGTGAGATTCACAATAATTAATGTGAATGATTCATTCAACAAACATGCACTACAGCCTACTATGTGCCAGGCATGGCAGATGGTATGAGAAAAAAAAGAGTCCAGACACCTTCCCTGCTTCCTAGAGTGCTGCTCTCCAGATTTATGGGCAGAGCCCATTCCTCACTCATGGGTCCTTAGCTATACCCCTTTGCCTTGGATTTTGCAGATGCTATTTCTCACTGTCTTTCCATGAAATCTTTCCCTTTCACTTCTAGGTAAAAAACCCGTCTGGGGGCCTCCCTGGTGGTGCAAGGGATTAAGACGCAATCTATGAAGCTGTCCGCAGCTTCTGCAGCATGAGTTCGATCCCCGGCTGGCCAGGGAGCAACCCACATGGTGCAGCAGACCTCTACTGACACGCCCACTGCTCCCCTCAGCAGTGTACTTCGGTCAACCTGCCTTTTCTGTTCCCCACTCTGTCTCTGGTGAATCCTCTCACCCCCTACACCTCTGGCCTGTACCCCAGCTCTTGTATGCATAAATAAATAAATCTTAAAAAAAAAAAAAAAAAACCAGTCTGGATCTCCTTCAAGGCATCATCCATATAGAAGGTACTTGATAAATGAATATAGTAAGAAAAAAAATCCATACAATTATCAATTACTTTAATCAGCAGCAGCAAGAAATGTTCCATGAACAAAATCAGCTCCATGACATTAGCTGTTTTTTCACGTCTAAATCACGAAGGAGGCCACCTAGCAAAACCACACCTATGAACAACAAAACTATTTTTCCTCCTAAAACTAATATGCTAGTTGGTAAAAAATAGAGCAAAAAATTCCAGTTTGGGTGCATCTAAAATATAATATTAAGATAGAATTGTCTCAGTCTGAAGTAGTCTCATAATAAAAACAGAGTTCTTCCTTGTACATGAGTGGAAGTGATGGGATGGGCCAAATGTTGGTCAAGTCATTTGACATTCCAAGATATCACTTAGTTTTCCAACTTCCTGAAATACTACAAAGTCCAGAATCTGTTTTACCTGATGGCACAGTTCCTCCCACTGCCTTTGCAGGAGCTCCATGCGCTCATTGAGGATGGAGATATCATCTGCACTGATGTAGGCACAAAGGGTGTCCTTCAACAGGGTCAACTGTGCCAAGTCGTCTGTCCAGCTACTAACTGCACTTTCCAATTCCTAGATTTAAAAAAAAACAAACAAAACAAAACAAAAAACCTTGAATACCCATGGATAAGAATCACCAATAACATCTGAAATGTATTTTGAATCTCCTCTTGTTACAATTACCTTTCCATCCTATTCTATTTGAATATCTGACTTGGTCTCTACCCCATTTACTTTCCACATAATCTGATAATTTGCCAAGTTCTTTTGATATAATATCAGGGTGCTTCCTATACTCTCCGACCATTTACCATTTCATTAATCAATTATGAACATTTTTCTAAGTTAATGTCATCACTTCACTGAGCTGCTTTACTTTTAATCTGATTTAGTAAACTGCTAACCTGCCTTATCCTTTTGTCCCAAGTTATTGATCATGTTAATAAAATATTTTTAAAAATTAACTGTATCTTCAAACACTGTGGGTTGCTGATTCTGTGATATATGTTTACAATGTAAAAACTGAAAATATCTGCTATTACTCAATTTAAAAGTGAACTAAATGTTACATTTACTGAAATGATAGATAGATACATAGATAGATAGATAGATAGATAGATAGATAGATAGATAGATAGATAGATAGATAGAATAACAGCCGGAATACATTCTCTGCAGGAGCAGAGTTCTTTAATTTATTGAAAAAAATATATACACATACCCTGACATTTGTGGCAATCATTTAAGAAAAAGTCCACATAATAGTATTTGAATTGACATTAGTTTTTGCAATGCTTTGAACAGATGACCAGTTTTACAATTTGTATAACTCTTCCTCTTTGCCAACTGTTGATGTTTTTAGATTCCAGCTAATTTATTTTTTGTCTCTTCACATAGGAGACAAGTTTTCAAAGGCAAAGGCAATTAACTGTACTGGCTGAGGCTAACTTCCTAGGCAATTAAGGCAAATAAGGCTTCAGTCTGAATTTTCCAGGTAATTGCTTTGTTTTGCTGCTAAGGGTGGTTTGGGGAACAGTAGCAGAGAGCTGGACCAAAATGCATCCTACTTTTAATCTTCAAACTCAATAGCAGCTCATGTTTGCAACTGTTACATATTTTGGGAGACAACTACCATGATCACAATATTTGGCAGAAAGACAGAACCATCCAAGTGTATGAAATATGCAGCATTTTTGTTTAAATCCCTATTCATATTAAATGGCATACCAATGTGAACATTGCCTTCTTATACCAGTTTTGAGCCCCCAACTCAAACATCAGATTTGGTGTATGGATTAAGAAAGAAACATAATAGCACTGGCCCAAAATGAATTATTTCAGTTCACAGTGTATACACCTATTATGTGGTAAAAATAGAGTGTTGAGAGTCAGGAAATACTAACTTGGAAGTGTTATTAAATTTCCAGCCCAGTTTCACATCTGTGAAATGGAAAAAAAACAGCGTCTTCATCAACTTAAACTCAAACCGACTGAGAAAGCTTTAGTCTACTTACTGGCACACAGGAGGAGTGCTTAACAGTAGTTTTCTCTTACAGTAGTTTTCTTTTTCTGCTTAACAGTAGTTTTCATAATCACTTGTTATAAATTTACAGTCACAGACTAGAATAAACTCTCTTTACTCTTCACAAACTTCTAAGTTTATACCAGATACTATGTCACTTGCCAGTGCTGATGTAAAATACGCTACCTTTCATTTTTCTTAAATCTGCCTCTTCCAAGTTTTGAAAAATATCCTTCAATGTTAACATTGAAGGGAAAAAAGCTTATATCCATGATTTTCAAGATTTCTAGAATTTTTCAAAAGTTAGTTTTTTTTTTTAAAATGTTTAGGGCAATTTTAGCCAAAGTGAATAGAGAACCTCTGATTAGAATCCAAGTCCTATGAGTATGTGTGAAGTTTCAAACAGAATGAAATGACTAAATATTTGCTAATGATGGGGAACTTAAATCCACATATAATTTGAACAAAAAGCATCTTTAGCAGTAGTTCTGATTTGAGCCACACATTGTTCAGCAGAGAACTGCTCCCCAAGCTCTCCACTTGGCTATGAAGTTTAAAGCTCCATAGCCTGGAAATTCTGTGGACAGCAGGCCTGAGAAGAGCACACCCTTCCAGAACCTTCGGCATAGAAAGCAGAAACGATAAATGACTGATCTCTGTTACTGAGAAAATACAGGTGTGAATGGAATGACTCCTACAGCCACTAAATCATGCTGGTCTCAATGAGCTCATGAAGCAAGGAGTGGTCGGTCTCGACTACTGATTTATTTCAGCAGTGATTTGAGGTGCTGATAGTAATCTTTAAGAAGTCAGCGCTCTGTGTAACTGAAGGACTGTGTGCCTTCATGCACAAACTGAGACCAGCCGTTTATCGTTCCTGCTTGCCATGCAGAAGGTTCTGGAGGCAGGGTGTGCTCCTCTCAGGGGTGCTGTCTGCAGAATTTCCTGGAATGCAAAGCCTCTTTCTTCTTCCTGTAAAGTAGACTCAACTGCTGAAATGACTCTCTCGTGGGGGCCCTTTAAAAAGGCTGCTTTTACTGCTCTGGACCCAGCTTTCAAACATATTTTTATATTATATTTTACATTTTCAATTACTTCTTTCAAAGAATCCATAAGCTAGTCTATAATTTCATCAACTGCAATAAATCAACAACCAAGGTTTAGCAGGACTGTGGGCCCTCATGCAATGTACAAGGAGCTGCAAGTACATGCAGATGCCCAGGGGACTTTGACGGGAACGTGGCAGGTGACAGTGAAGGCTCCATCCAGTAATTACCTTGCAACGCATTTGCTCCACGTGGAGCTCTTCATGGTGGTCTGGTAGCGGCTGGGAGAGCTTCTTTTTGAACATTCGTAGTTTCTCCAGAGAATCAGCGATTCCCTTCTCACACTTTTCCCAGTCCTATAGTGGGAGAAGAAAGAAATGTCATGGATTTGGGAGTGGGGGGCTAGGAATTGGGAAATACAGGAAACACCCTTCTTAATTCTAAAAGGAAGATATGAATAATGGGAGGATGTGTGCAAACCCATCATCCTGGCAGGCAACATAAGAAGAGCTGAGTTCTAGGTGGACTCTATTATCCATGTGACTTTAAGCAGTTAATGAAGTCTCTGTTTTCCCGAGGGATGGAAATAATGCAAAACTTCTGTAATTGTTTTAGGATTAAAGGAAGTACAGGTCTAAAGGCACGAAATACAATACCCAGACATTTTTCTTACTGAAATAATATTACATTATAACATTAAACAAGCTTCAGGTGCTCACTGCTGAGAATCAACATGTGTGTCTCCTACAGGCAGGTCACCGTCAAAAGTCCAAGTCTACACTTGACTGCACCACTGTCCTCCCTTTCCTGATTTACTGCCTCCTCCCCTCTTGCCCTCCTGGTAGCGAAAAATTGGTCTTATAGTCCTAAAGTTCATAATATTATTAGTATATATTATTTTATAACAGTATTAAGATGTGATTACAAAGCAGGTAGTCACGTAAGGTATAAAATTATAATGGCTTGATTTTTGGCATACTAATTTAGACCATTAAAAATTAAAAATTTGGGGGCCTCCCTGGTGGTGCAAGGGGTTAAGCACCACACTATGAAGCAATCCACAGCCTCTGCAGCATGAGTTCGATCCCCAGCTGGCCAGGGAGCAACCCACATGATGCAGCAGACCTCTCCTGTCTCACCCACTGCTCCCCTCAGCTGTGGGTTTCAGTCAGTCTGCCTGTTCTGTTCCCCGCTCTGTCTCTGGTGAATCCTCTCAAGCCCCTGCATCTCTGGCCCCAGCTCTTGTATGCACAAATAAATAAATCTTTAAAAAAAAGAATTAAAAATAAACATGCATTATATCTGTGAAAAGACATACAAAAATAAGGCTGTATAAACATTTGAATTTATTACCACTTCATAAATTCCTTCTTAGGTAAATAGAACCAAATGCATAATTCAAAATAAAACAAACTTTAACAAGAATAGAGACTCCCCTTTCCAGGAATGGCTGAGATTCTGAAGTTACAACCACTTCTTTTCACTACATGACTCATAAGGAAATAACTTAACGTTATGGTCTGCAAATATCTATCAAAATGGATGTTTCACACATCAACAAACAGTCAGACAAGAAAAGCAAAAGCAGTGACTCATCTATCTCACCTTACTAAGTCATGGGAATATGTCCAAAACTCACAGTTCAAATAAGAAAAAAATATGATTAACATGTTCCCTGCAAAATGAGTTACAATGTGCCTAATCCTTCCGTTAAAGAAAAAAGATTTAAAAAAGAAGAATCAGGCAGATTGTATTACTGACGAATTGTTCTTTGTGCAAACAGTTCTTTTTCAGATGCTCAAACATTTTTGATTGTTTTCCGCACTAAAGGTAATTTGTTAATTAATAAAAATCATGACCCCTATGGTTGTGCATACAGTAGGCATTAAAAAATGGAAAATGTGTTCCATTAACTTTAGCTATTACCTTTGAACCAAAAGTGACAGATCTTGAACCAAGGTCACAGATAATCTCATTAAAGTGTTCCTGATTATCAACATACAGAAAGTTGTGTTGATTTTTCAAAATGATAACTATATCAACAATGATAATTACTGTCATTTATTGAGCAGTGAATTTGTTTCAGGTTCTGTGACACATGATTTCCCTGCGTTAATTCATTAAGTCCTCACCATTCCACATGAAGGTGGTATAATCATACCCACTTTACAGGTCAGGAAACTAAGGCTCGCCTAGGTTGAGTTACCCAGGCTGTTTTGATTACGATGGTTTTAATCTGAGTCTGTCTGAGTTTAGAGTCTATGTGCTTCTCAATAGCTGATGTCATACTTGATATAGAATTAGAAAGTAAGGGGAAAATGTGCATTGTGTGAGGTGTGGCTCAATCTACATGGCCCTAAGTGGTGTGTGACCCTTATGCTAAGGAGTTATGCTTTATGGACTTATGCCAAGTGTCTAACCAAGACACCTAAAGCATCTTTCATGCTTAGTGCGCCTCCTGGAGATTTTACCTCTGAGCAGCCTGCTGGACTAAGCGATGATCAAATCGAGACTATCTTCTGTACAGGCCTTTCGCTGTCATAAAATATGAGATATTAATCTTGAAAACCACTTTAGAGTCTTAAATTAGGGTGTGGAAATGACACTTCACATTCCTGTCTAGATTTATAAAGTCATCATGGGGCTCCTGGCTTAGCACTGGTGATTAATCAGACCTCACCACTTGGACAGTCTTACTAGACTTAAAACTACTTTGATAGGGGATTTTCTTGAAAGACAAACTGCTAACAATTCAGAAACTTTTCCAGTTTGTGCAAGATAAGGCAAAGTCTATTTTTTTTTAATGGACTAGTATGAGTGTGTTGCCATTTTACCTAATTAGTTTTTAATATCAGTACTTTTAATTTTTATATTGTTTCATGGGTAATTTTCTTTGAACTGAGGTTTATATCATTGTAGAATGTGTTATGATTTCTCCTCCTGAGTGGAGCTCTAACTGCTCAATACTACGTGTGATAAGTTCCACTCAATGTATCACAACTGCTCTAAATTACGTACCCGTGTAAGTCCAGTGAGCTAGGTGGCAAGTATTTTGCTTTCTCGTTCTACTCACATGGATTTTATTTAGTCTTTTCATTGTTTTTCCCTTAGCACCATCCCAGTATGCCCCTGTCTTGTAGACAGGACATAATCTTCAGTCAGACACTGGGTGTCAAAATACTGCTTCTGTGATAATGCACTTTGAATTATTGGGTCAAAGGATGATGATGGGAGAAAGAAGCACCATTCAGAGGGCACTTTTTTATTATTTTTATTTTTATGATTAAATTTATTTTCTTACATAGATGTTAATTTTTGGACAGCATTTGATTCTCCCCTCAGGTGCAGTCCCCGTGGTTCTTACACCACTACAGCACCCGTGACCATCACCACAGTCCCTCCTGCTCTCCCCTCCCCTGCTGTGTGCCTCAGATCCAGGGACAGCTTGCAAGCTTTGTCTTTTTCCTGGCCTTTTGTTCAGTTCCTCTACATTCCACACATCAGGGGCCTCCCTGGTGGCGCAAGGGGTTAAGTCCCAGCACTGTGAAGCTGTCTGCAGCCATTGCAACATGAGTTCAATCCCCAGCCAGCCAGGGAGCTAGCCACATGACATAGCAGACCTCTCCTGTCTCCCTGCTGCTCCCCTCAGCAGTGTATTTCAGTAGATCTACCTGTTCTGCTCCCCCCTCTGTCTCTGGTGAATCCTCTCACCACCCCGCACCTCTGGCCTGCACCCTAGTTCTCATATGCATAAATAAATCTTTATGTTCCACACATCAGTGAGACTATCTGATATTTCCTTTTCCCTCTGCCTTATTTCTCTTTCAGAAGGCCTGTAAGCTGCTTTCTGTTTACAGGAGAAAAACACTGAGCTTACCTTCAACAGGAAAGCCAGCTTTTTCTTCTGCTCCTCCAGACGCGTGCTGGCCGATCTCCACTTCTCCTGGATGTCGGTGAGCTCGGCCTGCAGGGAGGCCTCGGCCCCGCTGTCGGCTGAGAGCAGGAGCTGCTTGCCCGCCTCTACCGTGAGGATGTAGCTGCCTTGTTGTCTCAGGAACACCTTTTCCTTGAACTGAAAGGAACCATAGCTTTTAACTTTTCATTCTTTTCTCCGCCATTTATCATAATAAGTGTTTTGAAATGACTCTGACTGGTTGTATATACAGGATGCCCTCTTTCGTCTCATAAGCATTTACTGAGCTAGTACTTTGTACATGAATGAATGAGAATTCAACAGGAAGAGGCCTGTGTCTCTCCCTCAGGTAAATGCAATCTTGAGGCAGCAGAGAGCTGCTGTCTAAGACTGACACAGGGAACACAGCGGGGCACCCAGCCCACATGGTTCACAGAGAGGCTTCCTCAGGGTGAGGGGTGAAGGGTGCATGCGTCTTGAAAGACACAGGAACCCAACCAGAACAAGGCATCTGGATGAGGGACAGGAGTCAGGAAGAAGCCACCACCCACAGAGGGACGTGGGGATGGGCAGATTCACAAGACAAGAGGAAAAGGATGAATTCAGGAAGTGAAACGGGGCACGGTTTTCAGCGGCTGGAACACAGGGTGCATGCAAGAGCGGTGGAGGATAAGGCAAGACTAGGCTGGGCACAGAAATTTGGTTTTTATGGCAGAAGTGACTGAGATTCACAGAAGAACACGAAGCAGGGAAGTGACGTGCTCAGATGACAGCACTGAGCGGTAGAGCAGAAAGTGGGATGGAGCAAGAGCTCACACTGGGTATGCGGAGCCGGGCCGGGGAGCCATGGTCTGTCTGGGTAAGAAATCACGGGCGCCTGATCTAAGGTGGCGGTGGTGTGAATAGAAATGTGGGGCAGCTCAGCCATGGGGAGAGAGAGAAACAAAGAGCACAGCTCTAGAATAATGCCAGGCTCCTGCTGGAGATCAGACAGCTGGCAATGACATTTCCTGGGATTGCGGCTCCTCTGGCCCCTCCAGAACACATTACGTCTGAGAGGCACATGGATACAATTGCAAAACGCAGAGTCATGAGTCGAATGCTCAGAAGGGCAATGTGACCAGAAGGTGCCCACTGGACTCTTCTCTGCTGGTAGAGGACAGAGGGTAGTAGAAGCCATGTGTAAGGGGTGGGAGTCCCACAGCCCCAGGCTGGTGAAAGTGAGGGGTGACATCAAGGGCTCAGATGGGTCTGAGCTGATAATCGCTTTTGGTATGCTCGAGGTACAAGCTCCCGAGTAAAGGACACAGAAGCAATGAAAAGGATTCCTTTCCTTGCCTCTCCGTCTATGCAGGGGTACAGTGAGCTGCCAGGAGGCCTTGGTGTGTGAAGAGGAAGGCGTCCTGTGAAAGGCTGGGTACTACCATCCTCTCATCTTTAAGTAGGGGACGTTCTGATGCAACTGCTTTGTAGGTTTCTGCTGACATTTGCAAATAATATCTGTCCTCATTCCAAAGTCCCTCGGGAATCTTCTGCAGAACTGAGACTAGGGTAAAGTGTGTGGTGGAAATGTAGAAGAGCTTTGAAAACAGTGGGCCGTGGCTCTTACTTGCACTTCATCAAAGAGGGTCCTTGCTTGCTGAAGTGGTATTGGGACACTGCCGAGGCCACTTGCGGGGAGATAGGACACTTCAGCCAGCCATTTGCGAAGCTTTTCTGCCATCTCCCGGTAGCGCTGCCACTGGCGAATCTGGCTGTCGATGATGCCGCGCCTCTGCTGGGCCCTGCGGATCACGCCCTGCCACTGGTTGCTGAGAAGCGTCAACTTCAGGTTGAACTCATCGCTGTGGGGAAATAATCACACAGGGGAAGACACTGTTACCTCGGGGGTCATTACGTGGACAGCAGTGCCTGCGAACCGATGCCACAGCCCTGAGACGTGATGTAGGGTGCGGTTTTCAAATATGATCTGTAATTAGAATGACTGCAAGTAATTTTGAAAATGAGTAATAGTTAAACCGTCGTTGTTTGCAAATACTCAGCATTTTTGTGTCTCAGCACAGGTCAAAGGCTCCTCTATAATAAGGTCATTGTCATTCACTCTCCCTGAGTGTCTGAGAGTGGCAGCAAAGGCAAAGGGGGTGTCCCCAGCCCTGTGATGCCCGTAGCCCCTTATGCAGCAGATGACAGCCCCTGTGTGTGTTCTGAGGAACAAAACTTCCCTAAAACCTCCGCCTTCAGCTGGAATCACAACCCTCTTTGGATGAACAAAGCAGGGTTATTTTAGCTACAACCCTAAGTTTAAGTAAAATTGCTACTTAAAAACAATTTGTAGAACTGTACCCCACAAATTCAGCATACTTTCATAATGAATAACCCTAACCTTTAGCAAATTATTCCAAATAAGCATCTAAATCATCCTTCCTGCATTTTAAATGCATTTTATTTTGTTCTTAGAAAAACAGGAATGATCTCATTACCACTGCCTGTTATAAAGCTGGCTCGTATGGGAAGAGATAATAAATTTTACTCATGTTTTCTCAGTTTGGGGCCAAATCATCTCAGATCTTTTAGCTTGTTCTCCCTTAGCGATAGGCTTTCTACCTTTAAAAAGTTAATTAGTTATTAATTTTTATTTACCATTCAGCTTGTGGATCTAAAACTGGAAAATACGGGTTTGTTCATGAGTTTCTCTGTAGTTTGTTCACATATTTCAGTACTAATGTGTAGCAATACTTGATTTTTCTCTCTGGCATTTGTTTTGTCTTTTCCCCCAGATACACTATCCTTTCCTGTCGAGGGAAGCGTCACATCTGATTTGGATCTACTGACTCCTATATTCTTGTTCTACCTCTTCTCTACTGCCAAATAAACTTTGATTTTGTAACCATGTGGGCTATTAGTGCTTCTATATTTGAAAGTAAATTTTTATATCCATTGCCGTAGAACCAAATGTGATAAATTAGGTTCCCAACACTCCCCTAAAGTTATAAGCATTTATCATCTTTGAAAACCTCAGGACTTGGCAATGTCCTGTATTGGGAAAGATTCTGCCCTGGCTTCCTCTCTCAGGCAACCACCCAGTCTTTTGGGGGCCCTCTGCCCACGACGTGGAACTGAGCTGTCCTGAGATACCTGCCAGCATGGGGAACTACTTAAAACACTACATTGTTCCCACTGCTGAACTTGAATTCTAGAAAACAACTTATAAATGAACTTAAAAACCACAACACATTTGGGGCCTCCCTGTTGGTGCAGGGGTTAAAGACAGAGCTATCAAGCTATCACCAGGCACTGCAACATGAGTTTGATCCCTGGCTGGCCAGGGAGCTACTACCCCCATGGTGCAGCAGACCTTTCCTGTCTCCCTGCTGCTCCCCTCAGCAGTGTATTTCGGTAGATCTGCCTGTTCTGTTCCCCACTCTGCCTCTGATGAATCCTCTCAGCCCCTGCACCTCTGTCCTACACCCCAATTCTTGTATGTAAAAATAAATAAATCTTAAAAAAACCCACCATAACACATTTATAATCTGGGTCCTTCCTATAGTCAACAAGCTTTAATCTAAATTTTTTTCACTTGCAATTTTCAAAATTCTTTATCCATCCTGTCCAACTCTCCCCTTCTCTTTATTCAATGTTTATTTCTTGTTAGCATTGAAAATGTAGTAGATACTGGTTTGTGAATGAATTTAAATATTATTTTCCTTAATGACTTGGACTTTTATAATATTGTTATAGAGTTGGTTCTAGGAGGAGGAAGCAAAAGATAAGGGAATTGTATTTGTGTTTGTTTTATTTTGAAGGCCTTAAATTCTCAGTAAAACTTGCATTTAAAATTGACTTACTTAGAATAGAACAAATGTGGCATATTTTGTTCTTCCAAGCCTAATCATGAAAATCTTTCATGTACTTCCAAAGAAACAGCCACTTAAAACTAAAATTGCATCCAAAACATTAAAAAAAAATCCTCTCAAAACACAACTACTATTATTACTACTAGTAATAATCATAACTACTGGTCCTAAATATGTGAAAGATATTTGCATGCAATAAAATCAATGCAGTTTATATGCCAAACACCACAGATAGTAGACAGGATAGAGTAAATATTGTTTTTAGGAAATCTAAGTATAATATGAAATCATCAATTCACATGCCATGTATCTAAAGAAGAGTTAGATTTTACACACACACACACACACACACACACATACATATTACACCACTGTTCATTTTTGTACAATGCATGCTTATATGCTTTCCCCTGTCAGTTGTATTCCCCCAGAAGGAAACAGAAAAGTATCAGATGGTTTCACTTAAGAAGAAATATAGGGGAACAAAATAAGGGATCAGGAAAAAAAATCAATAATAATAATTAAAAAAAATAGCAGGCAACTATAAATCAGAGACATTCTGCAAGGAAGTGGGAGGCAGAGAGATCAAAGATCAAAATGGCGGAGGGGGCCTCCCCATGGCACAGGGGTTAAAGCACTATCAAGCTATTACCTGCCACTGTAGCACAAGTTCAATCTCCAGCAGGCCAGGGAGCTACCCACATGGCGCAGCAGACCTCTCCTGTCTGCCCACTGCTCCCCTCAGCAGTGGATTTCAGTAGATCTGCCTGTTCTGCTCCCCAGTCTGTCTCTGGGGAATCCTCTCACCCCCTGCACCTCTGGTCTACACCCCAGTTCTTGTGTGCATAATTAAATAAATCTTTAAAAAAAAAACTTGGGGAGAGAAGAGCACAAGGGACTATGATGATAGTCCACGGCTGAATTGGTGGTGGAAATTTTGTAGGAAATACCTCTGTATTTTTAATAAGGAGAAAATATGGCAAGCAAACGAAGAGGGAGCAGGACTTGAGGTTAATTGTGATGTGGTTTAAGGTCATAAGTCACTGTCAAGCACAGGGGACTCCCATGGCATGGTACAGGGTGCTCGTCCTGGGCCTGCAAGCTCCAGGCTTGACTGTGCTGCTACTTGATTACCGGCCCTTGAGCAAATCAGTTCACATGGCTGGGCCAAGTAAGAGAGATGTTCCAGACGCTCCTTTTCAGGAATACAATTTTTGTAACAGTACAAGACTTATTAAAGCTTCTGTTTACAAACCATTGATACCTCATTAATATAATTCATTCTAATCTATTCATCAATGCCTGTGTCCTACAATGACCAGTGAAGGCTGGCTGGGTGATTTTCAATTACTCTGTGTCTTTCCCAGAATATAATAGCAGTTCTTCAAAAAGATTCAATACTCAGTCATTTCAGAGGTTCAGACAAACCTCTGCTCCAATTACTGAGATTTCATTGTAGTACAATTGCCTTAGGAAGATTGGATATATGCCCTCTAATCTGTTCATTAAAAAGAAAATGACTAATTTACTGGAACCTTTCTTCATGTAATATATCAAAAGTCCTACCTGTCATCAACTTGACCTTGTTCTAGGAGACGCTGTCCATCAATGATGATTGAGTGCAGAATCTGCTGACGGCTGAACATCTCTGCTTGAAACAACTATTATTTAAAAAGAAAAAAAAGAACATGCTTTAGAGTTCCTAATTTGAGTGACAAGTTCTCTAATAACTTTCTGAAAATTCTGCTTTTATCTCCAGATGAATCAGATTGTTGTGTGAAATCCTGCAGTGCAGGAAGAGTGTATTTTTTCACCAATTGAGATATACTTAAAGTTCAATTTTGTTTACTAAAAGTAACTGACTCAAAGTACCATTATGTTTCCTTTCTTCCCAAATCACTTCATAAAGTTACTTAGCATATAGTTTGTATTGATTTAATTTTGAATGCAAAACAGTCTGTTTTCAGACAGAATAAAGACCTTTGAAAAAGTTGATGAAAACAAAAATGCACTTATTTTAAATTCACTATTTTTCAATTTAACTAGGCTAATAAACTATTTCACTATTAAAACACTCAATAGAAGGTCTTTCAAGTTAATTCCACTGTTTTTAAGTAGATTTATAGAGAAGAAATTTGCATGCCTTATAATTCACCTAAAGTGTACACACAATTGAATGATTTTTATCATAGTCACAGCCATGTACAACCATATTCACAATCAAGTTAAGACTACGTTCACTGCTCCAAAAAGAACTCCATGTTCATTTTCAATCAGTTCCATGTCCTCCTCAACCCCACCCCTAGGGTGACCATTAATCTACTTTCTGTTTCCATGGATTCGCTGATTCTGGACATTTCACATACATGTAGTCACGCCAGGAATGGTTTTAGGTACCTGACTTCCTTCCACTTGGCACAGAGTTTTCAAGGCTGATGTCTGCTTGGAGAGTCTTGGTACTGTGTTTCTTTTTATTGCTAAGTAGAATTCCATGTATGGATGTACCACATTTTATTCATTCTTAGACCTATGGGGGGTTATTTGGGTGCTTCCATTTGGTAGCAATTATGAATAAGGTCTCTGCAAACAAAAATCTTGTGCAAGTTTTTATGTGGGTCCATATTTAATTTCTCTCTGGAGGGGGGTGACTGGGTCATAGGGTAACTCATGCTTGACATTTTGAGGAACTGCCAAATTGCTTTCCAAAACAGCTTCACCATTTTATTTTTCCACCAGCAATGAAATCCAATTTCTTTACCCCTCGTCAACACTTGTTATCTTTTTCACTGTCATCATCTGAGTGGGTGCTGGTGATGATACCTCATTGGACTTTAAATCCATTTTCTTTTATTTCATCATTGGTTAACTCCATAAAACTGGACTTAAAATGTCTTACACATAGTTAAGTTCTCTATTTTTAAAATTAAGGCAAAATGTTTGAGAATTAGTTTCATTTTCTTTTAGGTTCTCAATAAAACTTTCCTCAGCTCTTAGGTATCCTTTAATTTGTGTACAATTAGTAAACACATAGAACAAGTAAAAAACAATTTTTAACAAAGTGGAGACCAATGACAAGTTAATTGTTGCTTTTTTTATCTACTCTCACAATGATTTCTGAGAAACAATTATAATACAATTTGATTAAGAAGTATACTTGGAGACAGTTGGTAGTTTGATTTCCTTAGCATAAAATATATATTTGCTTTTAAAAGAACACATAGTTTTCATTTATCAGATGTTTTTGATCAAAGCTTATTGCCTTTAGCACCTAGCCTTGGCAATGTGACAATCTGAAAGTTGTCAAACTTTCTATCCTCCTTACAAGCACCCTTCTATCCTTCTTCCTCCATTCCACCAATAAGTAGATTTTACCAGAATTCTAGCAACACACACTGCAGGATTTGAAAGCTCACTGTATGCTTTTAACCAGGGGAGCAGGGGACTGGCCCACAATTTTGCAATTAAGATACCAAGACCTCAAGCCCAAGAAAGCAGACAATGGGCATCCCCAGTGGTGCAGGTGGTTAAGTGCAGCACTGTGAAGCTGTCCACAGCCTCTGCAGCTCAGGTTCCATTCCCTGCCGGCCGGGGAGATACCCACATGGCGTGGCAGACCTCTCCTGTCTCGCCCGCTGCTCCCCTCAGCAGTGTATTTCAGTCAGTCTGCCTGTTCTGCTCCCCACTCTGTCTCTGGTGAATCCTCTCACCCTCCCATGCCTCTGGCCTATACCGCAGTTCTTGTATAAATAAATAAATCTTAAAAAAAAAAGAAAGCAGACAACACTGTGCAAGCATCCACGCAGACGCAGCACTTTAGTCCTTCTATTTGGGTGTTTTGAAGCATCTCCCAAAGGACTAACATGTTTTAATTACCCCCAAATCCACTGGCAAAACTTACCTCATGAGCTCTCTGTTGCTCCAAAAGATGCTGATAATTGCCTGAAATCTCAACTGCTAACTTTTGTTCTGTTTGAACCAGGAATTCCATCCATGTTTCACATTTTTCCAAGAAAGTCTGATGTTGTAGCAAAAATGACTGCAACTTACTGAGTGAATGAAGGACAAAGAACAATGATTATTACTACGCATCTATATTAAGATATAAAATCTTGCCATTTGTGACAACGTGGGTGAAACTGGAGGAGCTCAAGATCATTGATTTCAGTCAGATGGAAAAAAACAAACACAAGATGATTTTACTTGTGTGGAATATAAAGAAACAAAACAAAGGAGGAGACAAAACTGAACCAAAACAAGCCCTAGAAATCTGCCTGTAGAATTGAGGCTACCAGAGGAGGGTGGGGTGGGGGTGGGGAACTAGGAGGGTGCCCCAATGAACTGGGGTGGAGGGTGGTGGGTGCTGCTAGTGGATGTGGGGTAGTGACATACATGTGAAGAGGTGGGGCCCGATGTTCCTATATCATGTACAATATTGTACACCAAAGTTACCTCAATTAAGAAGTTAGCAAAAAATGACTATGAAAAAAGAAACCAACTAGAACTATATGAAATGAATAATGATTACATATTGTTGGTTATGCTTATATCTAGCATATAAAACTAGGTTAAACATGCTCTAGTTCCAATCTGACTATCACAAAGCCTTTAAGTTTGGCAGTAGAATTAAAAAAAAAAAACTAAAGAAATACTAAAACCTTAAAACGATAAGTTTTTATACAATGGTAAAATTATGCATCCATCTTTAGTATATTCTTGTTCAACAGCATTTTTGATTGTCTGATTAAAAGAATATTTAGTCCATTAAACAAGGGAAACCACTTCAAAATTTGACCTTCCCAAGTTTAGTTCAACTTTTATGAGGCTCCTTGGATCATGAACTTGTTTCCACTCATAGATCAGACTGGCCAAAGCACGTCTTAGTCCCCCTACCTGAATCTCTCTGTCGTCTGACAGGAGATCAGAGACCAATGTCGGTTCAGATTCTGCATCCTTTTGATTTCTTTATCATTCAGGGGTAACCTGTATCCAAGCTCATTCAGACGGTCCAAATCTGGGGCCATGCTGCTGAATTTCAACATCTGTCCCTGGAAGGAATTGAAAAGCAGGTGAGCACCCAGGAGAAAGATAGGGCTCCTTCCACAGGCACAAGCAGCTTGTGATTTGGGGAGGAAACTGCTCTTTGATCTCCTTTGCATATCAAAGCTACTTCCTTGCAAGCTCTAGAGGCTGTTTGTCATCTTAGTTCCCAATTTGACCAGGTTCAGTTTCAATAAAAAGCAGCAGTTAAAAATGACCAAAAAAGTAGGGCTATGTTAGGAGTTTTGAATTTTCCACAAGATTCTAAGCAGAGGAGAGAGAAGCCGAAAATATGGGATGGGAATGTAAAGGCCCCTACCTTGAGTTCCTCCATCCTTTCCCGGATGGTGGAGAGGTCGGACGAGTTGTTAGGGTCCTGCCCTTGTAGAATTTCTTCAGCTTCTATGATCCAGGCCTCCAAAGCCTCTAAACTCTTGGTAAAGTTTTCATAATCAAGTACTCCAGCCTTTTTGTTACAAAAGAAAATTGGCATTTAGAAACCTAGTTACAGGGCAAATGGATATTGAAATGACCTTTCATATGCTTGCATCAAATTGTCATTCTAAAGAAATAAGGGCTACAATGATTTGTTTTCTTCATTTTTATAACTCTCCTAAAACTTAGAATTATTCCTACACAATATTAAATACTATTAATATAAATAGGTAATAATATTTTATTTAGTAAATACATTTATACAAGTATTTACTAATATTTAATAAAATATGATCAAACTAAGAAATATTGGATTGGCATGAATTAATTGAACACATTTTACTCAGTCCCATGGAGGGAGGGATTGGTGTAAGGGCAAAATTTCATTGTAGGGGCCTCCCCAGTGGTGCAGCGGGTTGAGTGCTGCACTGGGAAGCTGTCCACAGCCTCTGCAGCACAGGTTCAATTCCCACACAGCCAGGGAGAAACCCACAAGGCGCAGCAGACCTCTCCTGCCTTGCCTGCTGCTCCCCTCAGCAGTGTATTTCAGTAGATCGGCCTGTTCTACTCCCCACTCTGTCTCTGGTGAATTCTCTCGCCTTCCCGTGCCTCGGACTGTACCCCAGTTCTTGTATAAATAAATAAATCTTTAAAAAAAATTTTGTTGTAGAGAATAGTGCCAGCCTCCACCCCACCAAGTCCCCTCTGTCACTTCCAAGTTTGTTTATGGTTTATAATTCTTTGTTCCTGATGAAAACACTGTCTCAATGATGAAAACTTCCTGTGTTTATGCCCAGACACTATTCAACACCCGATTTACAACACATACTGAAGACGGCCATGTCGGTACCTGGAGCAGGGTCTGCTGTTTGCAAAGAGCCTGTTCTAGGGCACTTAAGTGCTGATTCAAAGACAGCTGGTCAGACTGGATGGCTGAGGCTGCTGACGCATCCACCTGTTGCTTGAGTTGCTCTCCCAGTTCATGGAGAACAAAAAGAGAATCCTTAGTGGTCCCCAATCCTTTGAGGAGTTCCTGGATAACATGGAAATATACCCAGGGTGAAGCAACAGGCAAAGTGTACTTCTTGTTATAAACACTCAGCAAAGAGCCACACATCTAGACGGATCTGCTTGTCAAATACTATGCTAAATAACCTTCAGCTACAGACAACATAATCAAGAATGTTTAAAAATACTGTGTCCATTTTTTAACAGTTTAAAAAATATTGAGGGCCTCCGTGGTGGTGCAGGGTTAAAGACAGCGCTGTCAAGCTGATGCCAGCCATTGCAGCACGAGTTCGATCCCCGGCAGGCCAGGGAGCTACCTACATGGTGCAGCAGACCTCTCCTGCTTTGCCTGCTGCTCCACTCAGCAGTGTATTTCAGTAGATCTCCCTGTTCTACTCCCCACCCTCTCTGGTGAATTCTCTCATGTCCCGCACTGCTGGCTTACACCCCGGTTCTTGTATGCATAAATAAATAAATCTTTAAAAAAAAATTAATTAAAAATATTGAGAGGGCCTCCTTGGTGGCGCAGGTGGTTGAGCGCCGTGCTGTGAAGCTGTCCGCAGCCTCTGCAGTGCAGGTTCGATCCCATCTGGTGGGCGAGAATCCCACATGGTGCAGCAGACCTCTCCTGTCACGCCTGCTGCTCCCCTCAGTCTGCTCTTTTGTCAGTCTGCCTGTTCTGCTCCCTGCTCTGTCTCTGGTGAATCTTCTCACCCTCCAGCACCTCTGGCCTGTACCCCAACTCTTTTATAAAAAAAAAAAATAAATCTTAAAAAAAAACCTTTAAAAAAAATTGAGAGTGTTCTGAATATAAAAATCAAATCAGTACAGAGAACAATGGGAAATGCATAAAAACATACATACCAAGAAAAATTACCAACAAATAAAGTCAATAACTGGAAATAACCTGGCAGTGTCTCTTCCCTCTGTATGAAATTGCTAACAACTTGAACACAATGCTACCTTTTGCCTTTTCCTATTAAACATTCTATATGACACGAATGAGTTTGTCAACAGTATCTTCTGTGTGCTGGTGATCTCATGACAGTGGTTACAACAGACCTGTGGGGCACAGGACCCCAGTGATGGTTCTGGAGAGCAGGTAAGAGTAGAGTGTCATCTTTCTTTTCCTTGGCACCTCTTGCCTCCACCATTTGTGGGGCCTCTTAATATGCTTGAAATTAGAAGCCAATAGAAAGTCTTCGGTTTGGGTTCCCGCTACCACTTAAAGAAGACACACAACTGTTCTTACTACCCATTGCTGCTGGCCCCACGAGACATGGTGGAGAGAGCAGAGCCTCCTACACTCTCAACTATGAGGAGAAGGAAAACAAAGGGCAGCTTTAGCCTTGACAGAGTCACCAGACGAGTTCACAGGAATAATCTGAAGTACTGCGCTCTTTAGACAATGTGTACAGGAGGTCTATCTCAACTCAGGAAGACTAAAAAGTGAAAATGACAAAATTTGCAGGGGTAACCTATGTGGAAGGCAAAAATAAGCATTGACTTAAAATATCTTTACTATAATGATTATTACCTGTGCTTTAAAGAGACAATTCATTATTCCTGGGAAGGTATGGGAATAGGTTAAATGCATAACTTGCTTCATCTGAATCAAATTATTTGGGACAGTTTACAGAATATTTTGGGAATGAACTCATTAAAATAAAGACACAAGTAAGTACAACTAGTAAGAGCCATGTAAAGGGTGAAACAAGAACTCTCCCCCTAAACTTTAAGTGACTACAGGGAAAAGAGAAATATGGAAAAAATGATTAAAAAGAAGTATTTCAGTAAATCAAGAACAACTTCTTTCTGCCACTAAATTCTTACAAGAAATGATTGTGTTGATGCTTAAATAACAGATGATGACCCTAAAGAGATAATACTTTTACCTATGGGTTTAAAAGATAGAACATGATTCTTCATAAGGTCATTTCTTATTGTATTGATCATCTGAGTAGAAACAGTAGAGTTTTCCCCATGGTTTGCATCTCATTGGGAAAAATAGGAAAACAGCTCATCTTTCAAAATTAACCCATGGGAAGGATCTCTTGGATTTGATGCACCTGTGTCTGTGTTCTGAACTAGCCGGCTCTTTAATACTTAAAGCATTCTTTTTGCACAACTGTTTCGCATGCTGAGACACACACACAGCTAGTTTCGAGAACCAGCCCTCTCAACTTCCAAGTAGAAGACTGGCATCTTGGGAAACCACCATGGTTCTCTGGACCTACATTGCAGTCTTGAATCCACGTAGCGACTTCGTCATCGGCAACATCCTTGTCGGTGGCCGCCTTCAAGAGCTCGTTGGTTCTCTCCTCCTGGCGCTGGACGGCAGCAGCACACTGCTTGGAGTAGTCCTTGTACCGCTGCCAGAGCTGCAGTAGGGCCTTGCTGGAGTGCAGCTGCTCAGCAATCTCTTCCAGCAAGTTATTCCATCTGGAAACAAGAGCCAACACTAAGGGGCCACTGCTATTGACTAATTAATATTCCATGAGTCTGGTTCATGTGGCTATGGACACAAGGCAGGGCTGTCCCATTTCTATTTAACCAAATGCAAAGTAACATTTCATGCTCATATTTCTGGGGCACATAGTAGGAGTGAGGGTAATCTTTGAGTATGTAGCACTTCTAATTTCTTTCTAAACATTCTCACTACATCTACTTACCCTGAAATTCATTTAGTGAAAATTACTCTAAGCATTCAAAAAATAGAATCTAGGGCCTCCCTGGTGGCACAGGAGTTAAAGTTATTGTGGCATGAGTTCAATCCTGGGCCAGGGAGCTGACCCACAAGGCGCAGCAGACCTCTCCTGTCTTGCTGGCTGCCCCCTCAGCAGTGTATTTCAGTAGATCCACCTGTTCTGCTGCCCACTCTGACTCTGGTGAGTCCTCTCACCCCCTGCGCCTTTGGCCTGCACCCCAGTTCTTATATGCATAAATAAATAAAAATAAATATTAAAAAAATAGAATCTATAAAGCTTAAATTTAAAATGCCAGCAAGTTTCATTTGTATCATTATTTATAATAGTGTTATAATGTAAATAATGCATTTAGTTCACACATTCCATACCTCATGTTGACCTCCTTCAGTGAGTTGTTAAGAGTTTCTGTTACAGGTGGGTGACACTCTTTCAATAGATAGTTGGTGACAGAGTCAAATTTCTGTAAGCTCCCTTCCTGTTTTTCAAGATCATCTTGAAGAGTCTACCCAAAGAAAAAGTGTCATAGACAGTAATGATAACATCTAAATTCTATAACAAAGAGCAAAAGTGATTTACAGCTATAGAGCTCTATATAGCTATATATCACTTTTAGATATATAGATACAGATATATAGATATATGTATATATCTCAGGCATGATTTTGCACCAGTGTTTATAAACACCATTTTTTTTTTAGGATTTTCTTCTTAGGGGTGTGAGAAGGGGGTCTCAACCATTAGAATGTTATCTGAAATTCTGCTCGCAAAGTTCAGTAGGGCCTCCTGGTCCGTCCTTAGCGGGAAGCTCTGGCTGTGGCATGCACACCCACGCGGCTCCCTTAGCTGCTCTAAGTCAAAACCCAGGTCAGTATCTTTCCCTTTTTTTTTTTTTTTTCTACATGCCTGGAGCTGTTTTGCCAGAAACTCTTGATAACTAGAATTTAGGTTTTCATGCCCTTCCTGAGTACCATCTTAAAGCTCTATCTGCTCTTTGCAAAGGATACCTGTTGGCAGTATGGACTTGCCAGTCTTCTACCAAAGATCAGTGGAGGAACTTGGAGAAAGACCTTTCCCTGAAAACAGTGCTGAAGCAACACACTCAGATCTTAGTCAAATTCCTGAGGTGCACCGGCTGATGGAAGGCCAGTCTATGGAACATGGATCTCCAATTGCCATCAAATCAAATACTCAAGGGAAAAACCCCGAATCCTTTCACACCTTAAGAAGGAACTTGCAAGTATGAAATTCAGAACAGGTTAAATGAGAAAGCTTTTGCCATCTTCTTAAAGTTATACAATTTGTTTTTAAACTTAGTTTTCTCAAAGTAATTGTTGATGAGGCTTAGAATCTGCAATAGCAAAGTTTTAAAGAAATTATATATGTCCCACCTCCTCCTCAACTCCCCACCAAAAAAAAAAAAGGGCATTCCCTTATGAAAGTCTGCAGATGGTGTCAGCAGCACAGACGCTTTGATTGCCCGCAGAGGAGTGGACTGGTGTGAGGACACTACATGCTGGACTTTTAGAAGCTTTGCCTTACAGGGGCGGTGGGGCGGGGATTCTGTCCTGCCCAGCCCAGCCCATTTTGTAGCCAGCGAGAAAGAGCAGCAACAGAGAAGAGTGCTTGCCCAGATGTGCAAAGGACGAGAGTGGCAGCTGGCCTGAGGACAGTAACCTGAGCTACGATGGAGCTATAATGGACAGCTGTGACGCCATCCCAGAGGAATACAAGGATGATGGATGCACAGGGAACCAAGCAGGTAGTGCTAGCAGAAAAGGGTTATGTGTATACTTCGGGTGGCCCATGACACCATGCCGGCTGAAAAGAAAACAAGCTGTATAGTTTAAAAGTTTATGACTTTTGCTCCCTTATTTTAACTCCATTAGGGGCCTCCCCTGGTGGCGCAGCGGTTGAGCGCTGGGCTGCGAAGCTGCCCACAGCCTCTGCAGCGCCGGTTCGATCCCTGGCCACCGGGTGAGGGTCCCACATGGCGTGCAGACCTCTCCTGCAGCCCGCTGCTCCCCTCAGCAGTGTACCTCGTCAGTTTGCCTGTTCTGCTCCCTACTCTGGCTCTGGTGAATTCTCTCACACTCCCATGCTTCTGACTGTACCCAGTGCTTGTATAAATAAATAAATAAATAAATAAATAAATAAATAAATCTTTAAAATAAATAAATAAATAAATCCCTTAGGATATGTTGGGAGAAGTAGAATAAAGGGAGGCAAGGGAAAACTTGAAAAGCAGTGACATTGCATCAAGAAGATCATTTGGGTATATGATCACTTTATAAAATATATTCATGTAGGATGGCGCTGAAAGGGATCATGCTCAGCAAAATAAGCCAGAAAGAAAAATAAAAATACTGGATGGTCTCACTCATAGCAGGAATCTAGAAAACTTAAATAAGGGACCAGGAAAATGAATAACTATAAGAAAGTGAAAATCAAAATCAACAAAAAACTATGAACCAGAGACACTCTATGGGGGGTGGGGGGGCGGGGAGGGGTTGGGGTCAAAATAAGGAGGTTGCAATTGTATGGGGAATATAAAAATAAAATTTATAAAAATTAAAAAAATATATATTCATGTAAACATTTATATAATAGGATCTTTAAAATCACCTAGTTCCATGGCAACTAATCCAGAATTTGTATCCATAGACAAGTTTGAGTCAGGGACAAATAAAGCAGGTATGAATTCAAGTATTTAAAAAAATAATGAAATAGATGGCAATGCCCCAGGATGTTTGCATTTGATCATTTTTAAAAAAATTTTTACCAATGAAAAATAATGTTAAGCATGGCTGAAATTCATTCCTACCTGCAGATTGTCCACTTGAACTTGCACAGCTTCTAACGAGCCGGTCAGCAGACGGAATCGGGACAGAGAATATCTGGCTTCCATGAGGTAGCTGTTGATCTCATCAAAGGCCACTTTGTGATTGTTCCACTGCTCAAGCACTGACTTCAACAGCATCTTCAATTGCCCGGCCTTTTGAAAGAGACAGACACTTCTTATTTGCATATTTAAAACAATGGTATATTCTACTTATTTGCATAATATTTAAAATGATGGTATAGTAAATTGATAGAAAGAAATCAACAATTAAGAACTTCATTAGGCTTTTAGAGATTTTAAGTAAACTTAAAGTGAAAGAAAAAAATTGAAAAGTAAAATGCAGCAACTTTGAAATCTATACCATTCATGCTGAGCATGGTTTAGTGTCGAAATGCTTAGAAAGGTGACATGTATCAAGCAAATTGATAAAATGTCAATACATTTAACACTATGGTTTAGAAAACATATTAAATGAGTGTCTCATATGCTTTAACTCATTTAATCCTCATAATGACTTTATCGGGTAGGGATAATCATTCATCCCTATCTTATGATAAGGAAACTGAGGCACAAAGAGGTTTTAAAAATCACTCCAGAGCAGGTTAATAGAATGTGAGATCTAGATATGAATCCAAGCTGTCTGGTCCCAGGAAATGAGACATATCTATCATCAATCCATCTATCCATCTGTCCATCCATCCATCCCCCACCCATCTGCCCATCACCTAATATGGAACATAAATGCACGCACACATATACTCTAGAGAAGATCTTAAAAGACAAAATATCGAAGAACATTCTTTCCCTAAAACTTATCAGCAACAGAAAAGTTTTGATGGCTCTTATCAAGACATGTGCTTTGGACTGTACGGATGTCTTCCTAGGCTGCTGAAGGCAATCTTTGGAATATGGAGTAAATATGACCATAATTAAGAAAAGGGGCCTCATAAATGAACTTTCATATGCATTCTGTGCTTTTCTTCTTAGCATAAATAAAAATATCAACACCAATCAAGACACTATCTAATGGGTCAAAGGACAGAGAAAAAGGAGCCGCCGAAGGGAGGCAATACTCAGAGCTGCAGACGGGACCATAACCCATCCTGGGAAAGCCACCAACACGCAGGAAAAAACACGACAATGAGAATTTTGAAGTCATCTGTTTCTTCTTTGTATTATGTTTCTTTGTACTTCATATGCTTTTTTGAAAAAACCATTTCATTTACTTACATGGTAAATTGTTTCTAAAAATTTGTGATACCTAAAAATGCATAAAATAAAACCTACTTGAAACCTGGTGAAAGATAAAGCAAAGGTAGGCGAGAAAGTTGCACCTGAAGAAGTGGACACAGACTGTATGAACCATTTGCTGTTTGCCACTGGTCCCAGCCCCTGGACTTGCGCCCGCCTCCAGCGCTGTAAAGTAAGGGGAATAACTCCCTGTACAGGTGTGGGCTGAAGGTCAACTGTGATCTCACACTGGAGTATTTGTTGCTACACATATTCTTATAATTAAAGAGATTCAACACTTTACTCAGCGCTTATTTATCAAATGTTTTCAGAGCCCTTATGTTTTAGTGAGAGAAATGTAAACAAACAAATAGCCTCAGTGTTTGTTACAAGCTGACAAATAACAGATCAAAGCAGAGTAGAAGTCAGGGAGGGCAAAGCAGCAAGGGGTGGGCTGCCCTCTATAGCAGGGGGGTCAGGAGAGCCCTTGTTGAGGTGGTGGATTTGAACAAAGCCTTTTCAGAGTGACCCACATGGCTATGTGGGAGCGGGTGAGCCAGGCAGAGGGGGATGTGTGTTTCAGAAGCAAAATGAACCTGCAGGACAGCAACAGGAGACAAGGTCAGGGGCAGGGGTAACGCGGACCTCCAGGACCTTGCCAGGTGCTCGCCTCATGCTGAATGAGACTAGAAGCTACTGGGGGATTTTAAACAGAGGGCTGGTATGATCTGACTTCCATTCTAACAAGAGTTTCCAAGAACGCAGATGAGTTAGAAGTCATTGGTGTTCGAAATAATCAAGGTAAACGATGATGGTGATATAGACATAGGGGGTAACTGCAGAGATGAGGTGAGGTGTTAGGGTCTAGATCTGTTCTGAAATAGGGTTGATGAAATTGCTGAGACATGTGGGGTATGAGAGAGTGATAGGAAAAAAGAGTGACTCCCCGGTTTCCTGTCCAAGCAAATGGAAGGGCAGTGTTGTCATTAACCAAGATGGCAGAACATATAGACTCGTGGGGAAGAAGTGGGGTGAGCGTGGGGGTTTGAGAGGTCTCCTGGTCATGCAAGAGGAGCTGTCTACACATGGAATTTCTCTCAGTTCTGTCTCCATCTAGAGTTTAGGAGAGAAATCCAGGCTGGGGTAGTGGAGGGAACACATTTGAAAATTGTCTGTGCCTAGACAAGGGAAGGAATGGATTGTTATACTAATATTTATATTATTCATAAATATATATTAATATTTATAATACTAAAAATGGATTATCGTATTAATGTTTAGTTATAGGAATTATCCAAAGCTAGAGTTTTTAAAAAAGTAGTTAATAAAGTGGACTTCACACAAAGAGATGACGTGTAGAGTCCATTATTCTTTACTCAATTACTTAAGGGAAATCCATCCCATGTCATGCTTGGACATGAGGTAGCAAACATGACCTTGGAGCAAGTTTTCCATTAGCAGTCTTACCATGTGATCTAAATTTGCCCAGGTCTGGCTGAGCTCCTGCAGTGTACTCTTGACAATGCCAGAGACTTCTGCTTTCTTGTCCTGAATCAAAGCAAGTCCATTCTGCTCAACTTTCTCTACTTCTTTTTCTTTTGCTTTAATCAAATCTTCCAGGTCCTGAAAGATTAAAAACAAAAATACTCATTTTAAATTGTTATGGAACTCTAGTGTGCAATGGAAATTGAACCATTATAGTTTTATATCCTAATATTCCTTTACAAGTCCCAAAAGCCCCATCATTCTCAGCAGAGGGTCTTTACAGTGATACTTCTTACATTTAAATTTTAAAAATCTTCCATGAGAAATTAACATGATTCTTAAAAAATAAAATTTCATTACTCACTGAACAAGGAATTGGCATCATGTAATTTTTTTTCAGAAAATGACATAGAAAGAAGAAACTGTAACACAATTTATATTCTTAAATTCATATACCCTAGTGTTGCAATCCTAGCCCATGAGGCAAAATGCAAAACAATGGGCTTCTCCTGTCCCTGCAATTAATCACATTCCTGCTGTGTTCACTCTGGGCAAGTTAGAAACTTCCACTGGGTCTGGGTTGCTTCACATGGAAAATCAGATGGAAAATCAGATTGGCATAGATCATCTCTATTATCCTTTCTTTCTCCCTAAAATATTCTGATTCTATGCAATTCTGAAAGGCTGTAGACTTTTTCCATGAATCAAATCCTCATTTTCTTCGAAATGTGCATTTATAACTGTCAGTCTAAAAGATTCAAGAAAGAGAAATGAGAGGCGGTAAGAATCTAAAGATCAAACTTAACCATACATGATAACCCGAACATATCTCGATCCATTTGGAAATGTAAAAAGCTCAGCCAGGTAGGCTGGGGCTACACTCAATGTTTTATACATGAACAAATGGAAGATGAAGTTACGGGGGCTGTCCTGGGCCACAGGGGTGGTGAGGCCAGGATAGAGCCGATGTCACCATCTCAGAAATGGAGGCAGGTGGACTGTGGAGCGAATACAAATCCCAAATTGAAATGAGGTGATTTAAGACACACTTATATTCTCATATTCAGAAACACAACCCAGAACTAGAAGTGTAGAAGGACAGACTCTGGAGGGTAGAGTGAAGAAAATTCCAAACTATCTTAAGTTTGGATAATATTTAAATTGCATCCAAAAAAAGTCTACTTCCCTATCATGAGCTACATATGGATGGCAAAATTGGGGGAGGCATCATTAGTGCCAGGGTATACTATGTAGGAATCTAGCCTGTGTTGTACTTATTACAAATTTTGTGCTCCTTGTATTTCTATTTCTGTGTGGTCCATGTGTTTAATCACTCTCTACCTCACCTCATTTATAAAACAGGAATAATCATACATTTTCTGCTTGCTGTATAGGGATAACATTAAATAAATAATTTCAACATGAACAAAAATTAGGCTAATAATGTAAGATAATATTATTTTATTCAGCTACTTGGTAATTGCTGTGCTTTAATAGAAATTTATTTATTGTTTTCGTCTTAATTATCATGAAGCTATTTTTGTCTTGCTGTATTAATCGGTAATTCATGCATTTAGTGGCCTAAAGAGATTGTTTTTGTGGTTAATATTGTTCTTTCATTTTCACTTTATAATTTTTGTCAATATTTTGACAGTTTTGATAATTACCAGAGAATGAAGAGTGATTACTAGGGCTATGGGTCCTTTACTAGGGCTATGGGTCCTTTACTATTTAAGGATTTTTCTATTTCTCTAATAGATTAAATAGCCATAAACAATCTTTTCAACATAGCCTTAATGTGATTCTAATATTCAGCTACTGGATTTAAATTAATCCTCATTTACTCACAGATAAATAACCTTTTTAACAAGCAATCCATTGCTTAGAAACACATCTCCAAAATGCCCTGCACATTTATGTTGGCATAAGAGCCAAACCTTGAAGAGAAACAGAACTGAAACATGCATTTTTTGTGTGCAAAATAAAGATGTGCTTTCCTTCCCTTTCAATAATAATTAAAAGATGATTCTCCTTCTGATCAATGAAGAGAAAAGCCAAACCAAACATTTTTTTGTTATAACAAATCATTCTTAGCTTGAGTAAACTCATGAATATCAGTTTTTATGTTGTTTTAAATGAGATAAACCATCTCTGAAAGAGTGGAAAAATAGTCAGGATTTTTCAAACAAAATAAAGTTTAAATCCAGGCACCGGTTTAAATATGCTGGCTTGAATTTTACACTTGGAATCTGTCATTTGGACTATTGTGATTTATGTGTGCTGCCTCTGACATAGCAGTAGAGCTACTGTCATTCTCCTCTCTGTCAAAAAAAAAAAAAAAGACTTTTCATTTGAAGTCACAGATTGGCATTAGTGTAGAGCTCTTTAAACCACACTTCAAGTTTTCCCTGCAGGCACTGCCTGGTATGACCTTCTGGGAGACTAAAATTTGGTCTGAAAAGGAGTAAAACTTGGTCAAGCTCCTGCTATATTTTCCAGAAGCAATGTCTCTCTTTGTTAAATAGAAGACAAGGACATACAAAGAAACACAATGGAAAATGACAGGCTAAAAGTACATTAAAGAGAAGAAAAGTAAGAAAGGCATAAAAAGAAAGGAGGAAAAAAAGAAAAGTTCTAGGAAGACATTATTTAGTCTTTTAACAGTAAAGTTGATCACAATGGAACAAGGAAACACGAACCTTGCTTATGTCAATACACAGTCTCTTTCAATTCTAACGGAAACATTTTACTATAAGAAATTATTGAGAAGTAGGACTTGTCATCCTTCAAAGAAAAAGCCTGAAATTCTGATGTGTTTGTAGCTATTAGATTGATAACTAGAAAATTACTGGCCCCTGCAGACCAGTTGATGCATGTTCCTGATCTTTGATATTTTACACACATTTGTAAAAAATGTTTAAAACATTTCTAAAACGTCAAGGTATTCCGCGAGGATGGTTCCCTTTGTCATTTTTATGCACCCTCTGAATTTCAATCATTAGGCTGTTCACCCCACACCAGGAGTAGCGGTTTATCCTTTACTGAGCCAGCACTTTGATTGAAGCTTGACTATTTGTCTTCACACAGGAAAAAAAAAAAAGATGTTGGTTGGAAGGAAGGTCATTGCCAAAGGCCTTTCTTTTTGAATTGTAGATGATAAAAATGAGATTTGGGGAAAGGAGCTATTTTTGTAGAATTACTTCACAGTTGAGTCTTCAATCATTCCTAGGAAACACTGCAAGAGAACTGGGCTGGCTCGTCTGGAACATGCCACAAATTATTGAATAATTGGAAAAAATGCATTGCAGCACTAACTGGTAGCTCATGTCTCTCCTGTATAAACAAAAGCACCCGAGGAAACACCTTGTCCCCAGGTCAGTGGGGAGCAACCAGAGCGCCCCATCACTGACAGGGAGCAGGCAGGAGCCTGGCTGCTTCCTGATACCACAGTGAAAAGAACATCATCGCTCTGATACCCTGGCTCACTGCACTGGACCCAGAATTCAATGCAGCCTCTAGCAAGAACTTTCTTAGGGGAGAGAAACTAGTTCAATGGTGAAAATAGGGGGGTTCACCGCATTCTCTACTTA